TATGCATATAATATATGGTAAGAAAACTTTGATCACATTAAACAAAAACTCCAAGATTTTCAAGATCAATTGCAAAAAATTCCAAACAAAAATTTATCATGAACTTTAGCTTGTATATGCAAATTTAGAATTATTTTAATAATTAAAAAAATTAGATTTTATAATCATATATGCATAGCTTTAATACTAAATGAAGAAGATAATTTTTAACTCATTGGTCAAACCCAAGAGCATAAACAAGAAAATGTTAATGCGTGGAGAACTAATATAACTTTAGATATGTGAAGAGCTGTTGCTTAGTAATTTTGAATGTTGCTTATCAAAAAAAAAAAAAATTTGAATGTTTGTTAAAAATTATATTATGTTTTACTGATTGAGAAAATTATATTAGGTTTTAATTTTTTTATTAATTTTATTGCATTTCTTTGTTATTTTTTTATTGACTCTTGTAATTTTGAATGTTTGTTAAAAATTCATACAATTTTTTAAAATCTTATAAACCCATATTTTCTTTTCAAATCCTATAAATTCTAATCCTTTAAAATCCAATGTAAAAAAATCTTTTGAAAAATCTTTAAAGTTCCTCTAATTCTAAAATATCTTTTAAAATCTGATTTATCTCGAAAAAAAATCTTTTAAAATCTTAATCAATACACCACCGATGTACATAACCTAATCCCACCCTTTATTTACTTTTACCCTCTACCCCATCACTTCGTTGACAACCATCCAGTTTGCAAGTCTCTGATTTCGAAAGTTGTGTCTCAATTTCACACTCAAACACGTGGATTCACAAATTTACTTTGCAGAAGTGCGATTCGCGAGCAGAGAAGAAGGTTTGGTGTTACCTAGTTTGACTCTTTGCATTGAGTTTTTTATTTTCTATCAATTCAACCTTTTTTCTTTAAAAGAAAATTGTTAGGATGAATAATCCATACAAGAATAGTAGGTGCTATATATGGAGACCTGCTCTATTGTTCACATATTCGGCTGTTTTAATTTTAGCTTGATAGTAGGATACTGTCTTGTTTGCTTACAACTTTATTAACCGATTAGCTCCTTCTGTCTTCTGAAGCCTGTCCCGCCTTGAATCCGATTAAAGTAGCTCTGAAGGTTGATTAGTAAAATAAATTTCGTTCCGCCGGATTGTCCATGTGGAAAATAGATGGAAACCTGAACTGAAGAGGCTTGCTAATGTTTATGTTTTTCTTCCTCTTCTCATTTTTCTATTATGATATTTCTTATTCTTTGCAATGTATTCAAATTTTTAGTTTTCAGTTCCTTAGTTTCTTGTTTCAATTTGTCATTTATATGTTATGTTCTCTCGTGTCAGTTTCTACTTTATATTTGAAAGGGTTTATTATGTCATAGGAGGGCCCACCGATTTTTATATATTAAAAAAAGCTTCAATCAGTCTACAGGACAGTAATCAAATGTTCTGTAACATGATATTTGATTTTTGAATATGTATTTTTTTTCTAATTATAAAAGGAAGTGGGGTAAATATAATATTAAAAAAAATACAAATATTATTATTGAATTTTTCTTATACTTTATAGCTTCCTTTTACCACTTTGTTTGGCTAACTTGATTCCATGCTGATACTTGGTCTTTTGATAAAGAGAACTGATTTTTATACACTATTTTTCTATATCTTTTTCATATATTAAATTTGTGAAATGACTTTTTCCTTTCTTTTTCACATAATTAATTTCACAGCATGTAACTTTTCCATTTTCAACCCTACTGCATCGTCCTATATCGATACAGAGTTCCTTCACACTAGCTTATCAATCCTGTGATCATAAGTAATGATCATTGACCATCAGAGCATGATAACTAGTACCAACCCTGACGGAGGCAAACAGACAGCATAACAGTTTGCAAGTCTATTTACAACCCTAAATACAACCCCTTGTACTTAACCTAATCGCACCCTTTATTTACTTGTACCCTCTACCCCATCACTTCGCTGACAACCATCCAGTTTGCAAGTCTCTGATTTCGAAAGTTGTGTCTCAATTTCACACTCAAACACGTGGATTCACAAATTTACTTTGCAGAAGAGCGATTCGCGAGCAGAGAAGAAGGTTTGGTGTTACCTAGTTTGACTCTTTGCATTGAGTTTTTTATTTTCTATCAATTCAACCTTTTTTCTTTAAAAGAAAATTCTTAGGATGAATAATCCATACAAGAATAGTAGGTTCTATCTCGGGATTTATGTCCCTTCTTTCTTCGTTGTAAACATCCAATGTTCCTTTCCATCTTCTTTCTTACAGCCCTGTTTATATTTTGCTACTGCGTTTTTTTTTAATACTGGGACAGGATATTGTGACACCCAAATTATGTTACACCACTCATGTGACACCAGTCAATCTCACCGTTATCCAACGGTTATATTTATTTCCATCTTTGTATGGTCATGATTTTTTAATGCATACATATAAATTGTCCAACAGAGGACGTGAGACCCATCCATGGCCTCAAACACTATTACCTTTGTGCCACTACAGATCTTATCATATACATATTACAAACACGTTTATTTCACTGAATAAATACATACATGTATGCCTGAATATCAAATGTACATACCACTTGTCCGAATAATCTTTCAAAATATATACAGACAATATGTAGCAAAGTGATACACTATGACCCCCAAATAAATATAAACATAGTCTCAAAAAATGGACTATCTGATGCACTACGTCAGCTCCTCTAACTCACCCTAGAGGGCTCTCCCACGGTGGCACTGCATGGAATCTGCTTTTGTTTATGGAGGAGATTTGACCTTTGTTACCTGTTGGAAGATTTAATCGATTAACTTGAAGATTTAATTGATTGGAAGATTTAATCGATTAACTTGAAGATTTAATCGATTAAATCATCAAGTTAACACTTTTTTACCAGATTTGACCATTTAATCGATTAAATTTTCAAGTTAATCGATTAAAGAGAGGCAGATTGGTAGATAGTTTTAAATAAGGGACAAAATAATTATTAATTAATTAATGAAGGGTAAAAGGATCAAAAAGCCGGTAAAAGGAAATAAAGGGATTAGGATTTGGTTAAGATTTTAAAATTATATGTTTATTGAAAAATAATACTTTTTTTAAAAGAAATTATTAGGATTAGTTAAGATTTTAAAATTAAATGTTTATAAAAGTAATATTTAAATGAAAAAGAAATCGTATTGTTGCTGTTATAAGGATTAGGTTAAGATTAAGATTTTAAAATTAAATGTTTATTTTTTTAAAAGATTTTTTTTACAATTAAAATTTTATAAGATTGGATTTTAAAGAATTTTATTATAATTTATAAGATTTGAAAGGATAATATAAATTTATTAGATTTTAAAAAATCATATGAATTTTTAACAAACATCCAAAAGTTAAGTAGGATAATCAAATGAAATTTTTATATGCATAAAATTAATTAAAACTTTGTGATACATATGCATGCTATTAGTGTCAAGTGTGATGGAACATGTTATTCACATTTGAAAACTTTTATTTCATTTTCATCAATATTTTTAAAAAAAATTTATTAGAATTATTATATGAAGTTATTTAAAGTAAATGCAAATGTATTTATCCCTAATATATTCACATCCCAAGGCTGTTAAATACAAATTTGAATATAAAAATTGTTTGATGGCTCTTGTTGGCATGGTTAGTATAAAGGCAATGAGGGTCCTATAGAGGCATGATATTACTGTAGGTCTCTCTGATATATTATAATTTTTTTTGGTTAGTAATTTAGACTTGGACACATGAATAATTATTATTAAGATTTTTTAAATTTTATTTATTGTCCCTTATAAATTGAGTGATTTATAACAAGTGAAGTTGACCCGGAGGTGAATAGCGTACGCTTTAGTAAATCGGATAAAAAACTGAGTATTTTTTTTTAAGGGGTGGAGGTTGCGCAACCTGGACCGGAAGTCACAGTTGAAGTGGGGGGAGACGGGAAAACCATGTTTTCTCGGAGATGGTTGGGGCCAGCAGCTCCCAGATGTGGTTTTTGAGCCATTTATCTACTGAGCTACTGAAAAATCATGTGCCCATGATTTGGGGTTTTCCGCTCAATTTTTTTAACACAAACCATGTTGTTCTTGATATGAACCATTGTTTTGGAGTTGTTTTATTTTGAAGAGATGCTTTTGTCCCCTTTGTGATCTTAATTTCATGTACATTAGCCTACATAGCGAGTCTCATGTTATTACAAAACCTGTCAACAAGTTTTTGAGGATGATAAAAATAATAAACTTCGTTCATCCGAGTTGTCCATGCAGAAAATATATGGAAACCTGCTCTATTGTTCACATATTCAGCTGTTTTAATTTAGCTTGATAGTAGGATAGTGTCTTGTTTGCTTACAGCTTAATTAACCGATTAGCTCTTGCTGTCTTGTCTTCTGAAGTCTGTCCCGCCTTGAACCCGATTAAAGTAGCTCCGAAGGTTGATTAGTAAAATAACTTTCGTTCCTCTGAATTGTTCATGTGGAAAATAGATGGAGACCTGAACTGAAGAGACTTACTAATGTTTATGTTTTTCTTCCTCTTTCTTTTCTCATTTTTCTATTATGATACTTCTTATTCTTTGCAATGTATTCAAATTTTTAGTTTTCAGTTCCTTAGTTTCTTGTTTCAATTTGTCATTTATACGTTATTTTCTCTCGTGTCAGTTTCTACACTATTTTGAAGAATTTCGCTGCTGCACTGCATTCCTTCCATAATGAGGTATTTATTCTCTTACTGTTCAAATGGTGAATTCTATTGATATTATAATTTTGCAACTTTTTCCCTCAATACTCGTACTTATATTTTATTTTTCCTATTTTTTCCCCTGTAAGTTCTTCTAGTCTTTTCAAGTCACGCTCAATCAAAGCTCCATATCAATTGAAGAACAAGATGTGCCACAATGATTCCTATGTCAAGAAAAGTAGAAGTGGTAGAATCTTTATGGTGTGCTCTTCTTCCTCTCAAATCCTAACCTTTTTTTTTTATTATTATTTTTTGAAGTAATAAATTTTGTTTGCCTATGTTTTTGAGCAGCAAAGGAAGGAGCACTACCTGCGAGATGATATATACTGCGGTGCTCCGTTTTGCATGGTTTGTGATTCTTCTTGTGCTGGCCTTAGTGCCGCTGCTTCCACGATTCTTGTTGTTGACACCAATGTCATTCTCAACCAGGTCTGCTTCAGTCGTTGTTTTGGATTGTTTTTTATGCTGCAACAAAGTGTTTTTGTAAATTGGAATACATGATGTCATGACAGATTGATTTGCTGGAGAATTCGACCATGAATGACGTTGTTCTGTTGTCCATTGTGCTGGAGGAGGTTAAGAACAAGAATATGGCTGTTTACAACCGGATTAGAGCTATTTGTAACAATTCAACGAGGAATTTCTTTGTTTTTTCAAACGAACATCACATGTAAGTTTATTTATTTAATTTTTATTTTTTAATGATGTACTGCCTTCTAGTTAGCATGAAATTTTATTACAATAACAAGATACAAGGAAAACAAGGAAGAACTAAGAATGCAGCAAGGTTGCTCAATCTCTTTGTGCATATCCAAAAAGTAATTCTATCCATAAAGAAGTTTGAGAAAAAAAAAAATAGAGAGGGAGGGAAAATGAGAGAAAGAGAAGGGAGAGAATTTCTAATAGTGCTTTGTTATTTCACATGGTATGTTATTGAGATTTGGCTTTGTTATTTGGTTTGCATATCTAAATAAATAACAGATTTCAGTTCTGGTAGTGTAGCATATTGAAGTGCTCCAACTATTGAGCAATAGTGCTGAGGACCTTAGTGATAGTTGGCACCATACATGGAGAGTTTACAGCCAATAGGCATGAGTGTGGAAATATGCTTTGCTTCTAGCATAGTGGCCTGTTTTAGGTGATCCCTGATATATTTGGATTGTGAGACAAAAAGGATGGCACCGGCAGGCAAGTGCTTCACCACAATTTCAAGAAAATAGTTAGGAGTGCCCAGGTTTGAGGGCAAATAGGGAGTTCAGATTCATGATAAGCTGCTTGACTAAGGAAGAGTCAGTGCCAGTAATTATTGTATATGCCAAAATAAAAATGCAGGAAGTGGCAGTCCTGCTAATTAACAAGGAAGGATCACATTTGATTAGGACATGAGGTAGGAAAGGATAAGGGAACCGGGGGAATTGAAGCACTAGGAATTGAGCTAGGAGAAAATGTGATGGATTCTGATTTATAAGAGCGAGGATATGGACAACGAGTTTCATTAAATAACACCTCTTTGGCGATAGAGAATTTTCTCTCAAGACTTAGGCATTTATATCCCTCGTGGCTAGAAGAATAGCCTAGTAAAAGACACTCCCAAGATCTGAAATTTAATTTGTGATTGTTAAGAAGGGATAGCACACACATCCAAATACTCTTAGGAATTCGTAATCCGGAGAGTGATGATATAGTTTTTGTATGGAACTTCAAAGTTCAGTGCAATAGTGAGTAGACAATTTATGAGATATACTGCAAAAAGGAACGCATGATCCCCGTACTTAGTGGTAAAAAAGAATGTGGTAACAAGGTTAGATCCATTTCAACAACTTTTATATTTTGATCTGAGATGCCTTGCCTACGTTCTCATCATTCCATGTAACAGCTTGTGGATTTTCTCCCAAGCTTCATGTAAATGGTGTACATCAAAGATCTTGTTTACAACAGATTTGGAGAGCATGGATAATTGCCAAGTTGTTAGGTTATGACATATGAATGGTTTATATTACATCTCCCACACCCACCAAGAAGCCATCTTCTCTCCGTACATATTTTAACAGATGGATAGTATAAAAATATATGGTTTAGGAGTGACATCACCTTAGAAGTGACCTTGGGAAATAGGCTTGGCATTAAAACTTTGTTTGTTTTACTAGGCTTTTCATTTTCGTTTGTAACTAGTGGAGTAATTGTATATTGTACTCTTGAAATTTGCTATTTGGCTCGTAGTTAATGGCATGTGGGCTACATATATTTGATTTAATACTTTGTGTCTCTCTGTTGGCACAGGGATACTTATGTTAAGCAAATGAGTGGGGAAACTATAAATGATAGGAACGATAGAGGTTTGTTTTTTGGATGAGCTTTTATTTTGTTCTTTGTTTATTATATGCTTTCTGGTTCACTTTGATGTTTTTATTCATGAATTGCCAATCTAGATAAAATCATTTTGAAGTTTAACTTTAAAAAGTGGTTATCCAGCTATTCGAGTGGCTACTCAATGGTATCAGAATCATCTGGGTGGTGGAATAAAGGTTTTACTTATAACCAACGATAAAGAGAATAAAAGGAAGGCTAATGAAGAAGGCATTCATGCAGAAACAGGTATTTGAATTATCTCTTTTGGTAGTTGAACGGTATTTTAAATAGCCAGACTACCAATGTACTGCAGCTGTATCTTATGAGAAATAACAAAACTGTTACAGTTTTGTTGAATGAATTCATCTTAAACTTATTAATCAATTTGTTTTTTGTTTCAGTTGAGTCATATGTCAAGTCTTTGGACAGAACTGATTTACTTGACTTGCTAGTGCGGCCGACATCTGAAGATGTGGACATGGTAGAGGTTGAAGATCTCAGACCATCCAAGAGGAAAATAATCTATTCAGAGGTATTCGGTCAATTTCATTTCCATTTATTGATTTGTGTATGTAGGTTTGGCTAAATCCATATGATGGAATATTTACATTCGTTTACTTTTCAGCATAAGCGAATGTCAGAAATTACTTCTGGTTTGCACAGTGGAATATATCATCAAGGGAGACTTCGTGTAAATTGTTGCAATCCATTTGAAGCATATGTTGGGAGTGAGAGCATTGGTGATGAAATAATTGTTTATAGGCGCTTAGGCATGAACCGAGCTTTTGATGGTGATATTGTGGCAGTTGAACTTCTGCCTCAGGACCAGTGGCAACAAGAGAAGTCTCTATCTATAGCTGGTGAAGGTATGTTGATTGTTAGGTTTATACAATTATACTTTCCCACAAGTCAGACTTACAACTGGTCAGAAATTATTCTCTGCAAATTGTCTTATTATTTAATTTTACCCAAAAAGCCTTAAGGGTGTGTTTGGTAGTCACTATTAAGAGGGAAGGGAAGATAGGGAAGGTTTTGCTCATGCCTTCCCTTTGTTTGTGAGTTAAAAAAATGGAGGAAGGGAATTGGGGATTTTTGTAAAACCCTCCAAAACACTTCTCACCCTTAAAATCAGAGTTCCCTCAATTGGGGGGTTTGAGAAAAAATATTATAAATTACTTATTTTCCCTTAGCATTACACTCTCTCTCTCCGCCGTCGCTCCTCCTAATCTCCTTCAACCAAAACCAAGCCTGCTTTGGCACCGCCATAGACGTTGGCTTCCGCGCCTACAATTGCGACCCCTTCCGAGAGCTCTTCCGTTGCGACTTCGCCGGCGGTGCCACGTCGAGATGCTCTTCCACAGCAACATAATGGCACTTTTATTGAAATGGCTACCCTAAATAAGTGAGGCCACGTCTACATTGTGTGTTCATTAAATCCCATGGACTTGATGACCTAACTTATTTTTTTAGGGTGTGTTTGGATTTCACTATTAGATTCTAGAAGTCTTGTTTCAAAATTATGTATCTACAGAAAACTTGGCCAATTCTATTGAAATGGCTACCCTAAATATTTATCCATCATGTTCAAAAATTTAAATTCGAGAGATATTTAGGAAAGATAGTGCTAAATCTTCAATTTTATATTTCGGCAGAATTAAAAAAAATTGAAGGGTAAAAGAGATCTACTCAAATTTCTGAGGTTCTTTCTAAACTGGCATCAGGTCATTCTGATTCACATGTTACGTGGGTTATATTATATTTTAGTTCCTGTATTTGAGTTGGCATCATTATGGCCAGCTGTGAGCATAGGACAACATTGTTATTAGAATCACATGAATCTTGATTCGGTTCAAATAATTCAGAGCCACCAATAAAAATCGTGTGGAGAAACATTATGAATCAGAACTGTACCTGAATCGCATGTAAATCGCTTAGAATTGTAGACATCTAGGTGCAATTCCTTCAAAACAAATATAGTCAGGTCAAACCCCAGAACATGGTTAGACACTGCATGACCGTGTTTTAATAACCCTTATTTAATTTTTTTATCAAGATTGTGGGGGGGAAATTGCCGAACCTTCTTTCTATCTACATTCGAAAAGAAAATCAACCCCAAATCATTCGTCTCTGCATTTTTCCTCTACTTCACGTGAGTGCTCCTCTTTTCTGGTTTGTATATTTGGTCTGTTGGTCCATCATGCACTTGAGAAATCCCATCTTTATTTGTAATCTTTTTTTCTTTTTTTCTAGCATCTTTTTATAGGTAATTTCTTCTTTATTTGTTTTCTCAGTGCTATATTGTTCTTAAAATTAATTTTTGTCTTTTTGCCTAAATGAGTTTTTGTTTATCTTGAAATTCATATTTCTGTTTGTAACTATGTAATGAATTATTTGGCTTTAAAATGCGAATATCTAGATGTTTGTAATGTTTTATATTATGTTAAAGTATATTTTCTGCTATTTTTAATAATTGATAATGAATCTTTTGATTAACGATGCTTTTCAATTCACCATTTGGAAATTAAGCCTTACGATTCATGATTCCATAACTATGTCAAATAATACAAAGGAAAGATAGGATGAGATGTCTAAGCCAAGAAAATACAATGACATTAATACAAAAAGAGCTCTTCATTACCTCTGCATATTCGCATTCAATTTATTCAGTGAAATGTATACACCTCAATAAATGAATATTAACGTTGCCTGAATATCCAACTGGATAAGCATGGAAATATGCTTCTTTGTTTTCTTTTCTTCCATACTCGCATTTGACCTGAGCATGCTTCTTATTGTGCCCGAACTTAGTCTTATTTGTGTATTAGTGTCTGTGAAATTGTTTTTCTGTTTAAATTTCCCATCAGCTAATTTTATTTGCTTGCAGAGGATGAGGATGAAGATGTTCATCTAGCTCCAAATAGTGCTGATGATGCACCTAGAACTATTCCTCAGCAAGGTTCTACTGGAGAAATGAATGCTGTGTCCAGTCGCCCTTCTGGTCGTATTGTTGGCATTATAAGGAGAAACTGGCATTCGTAAGTTTCTTTTTATTTTAGTTGTAACATTTCTGTGTTACGAAACAAATTGGCACTCGATTGAAAACTAATATCATTTTTTGTTTGTAGAAGAAACTAATATCACTTTTATCTCCACTAATTAAGCCACGTTCTGCTATTTTCTTTGTTTGGTATCATTATTTGTGTAAATTAGGAAGAATTATTAGAATAATTGAGAGGTAAATTAATTATTTTCTTTTTTTAATGTTAAAACTTGTTAACTGATCAGTATTTTTTTGTTTGTTAAAATGTTGATCGATAAGTATGGGCCTGTGCATATCATTTTCTAAATGTAGGTGTTTTGTTTTTTCATGATAGATACATTTATATTGTCTTTGCAGGTACTGTGGATCTTTGGAGCCAATGCCCATGCCGGCAGGGAGTGGTGGTGTTGCCCGTGCCTTGTTTGTCTCCAAAGATCGTAGAATTCCCAAGATTCGAATCCAAACCCGCCAACTTGAGAACCTTTTGGACAAGAGGGTTATTGTGGCAGTTGATTCTTGGGATCGTCATTCTCGATATCCATCAGGGCATTATGTGCGAAGTATAGGAAAGATAGGTGATAAAAACACTGAAAGCGAGGTAATATATTAAAACCATTTGTGTGTTTTTCCCTAACAGGTTAAGCTTTTGAGGGATTTGGGGTAACATGGTTTTGGAGCTTCTACGACCAAGTGGTTTAGAGTTTCATTTTTATTGTCTCAATTCTTCTAATGAAAAAAAGTTAATTTTTAGCATAAGGTCACAAGATAAAATTGGTCTGTGCATTATCTACGCTTCAAAGCCCAAAAAGGATTCTTGCTTGTGAGGGTGTAATAAAGATCATTATAAGATCATTCATGTGCCTTTTTCCAAAAGCTTAAACACTTGGGAGAGTCACTTAGTAACAGGAATATTGAAGTTGCTTGCTTATCTTTCTTTGTATGGAAATTGGGAAGACAATGACTGTGTGGCACTTGAAGCTTGAATCCTATAGTGTTTATGATGAAGCTGATGCAAATAATATTTTCTAGGAAGAGATTTCTTTTTCCTTCTTCATCTCATTCTGACTTTATAAAAATGCAAGATTTTAAACCTAAGAGTTGTGAAAACAAATATAATTGCCACTCACTTGAGCAACCATTAGGCACTTGAATATATGCTCATGATCTCTGCAGATTGATTCACCTATTCACATTTTGTCAATGACTTAGTTAACTAGAAGGAAAACATGATTGAAAATCTCCTTCAATACGTGTAAGGAAGCACAGAATTGAAAATCTCAAGAAGCATGATTACTTTAGAATATTTGCAATACTGTTGTACGATAGTTCTTACTAGATACGTACCTGAATTCTGATTTTTTAGAAAATGTCATATCCGTGTGCCTTGCATCACATATGCAACTATTTGTTACACTTTTAAACCAACTAAACCATATTAATGATATAACATTTCTTTTCCTTTTGTACAATGTAGGTGGTTTTAATAGAAAATGATATAAATTCAGGGCCATTCTCTTCACAAGTCCTAGCATGCTTGCCACCATTGCCATGGTCAGTCTCTTCTGAAGAATTGGCTAATCCAATTAGGCAGGATTTACGTCATATGCGTGTCTTCAGTGTGGACCCTCCGGGTATGGGTTTTATTTATTTTTCCGCTTCTATTTTTCCTCAATTAGTGATGAAATTTTAATATTTGATCTTATTAACTAAATTTAACTCTTACTGATTTCTATACTCATAAAATTGTTGATGAAAAGTTCAGGGATTAATTATTCATTTTGAAACTTGTCCTAAGCTTTAATATGATATAACCATTTGATAATTTTCGAATGGAAAAAAATTATGATGAAAATCTTAATGTTTACAATTTTAGCATGCTGGTATATGATGTCACTTTAAGTTCAATTGAGGCTTGTGGTGTGCCTTGACCTTGGAATGGGAAGCCTTCCTCCCTCCCCTAAACTTTCTTCTACCCAAAAAATGAGAGTTTATTTATTCCCAAAACTGACTATTGTTCATATTTAAAAGATTATGAAATGTTAGCTCAGCGAATGGAATCTTATGTCAGGAAGGATGATGTTAGAATATATATGTATAGTATAGGATTTTGTATAATTGTACCACACCATGTAAACAGGGTCCAAGCCCATGTAATTCATTATTATAAATAGAATCCTTGCATGGTCTGATCAATGACACACAATTCCTCAATTTCAAGTTGGTACTAGAGCTCCTAGTATGACTTGGATATCTTGGAATAAAATGGCAAGTTAGGGTGCAAACCTATTGATACACCTATGGATACCATGTCATGCGCCAAAAACTGGGACAAGGCTCTTCAGGGCCATATTACACCCATTTCCCTGCTTTATGAATTGACTACTGCTATTTTAAGATATTATACCATATTTTCTAGATATTCTAACAACCGCTACCTTTTTCTGTTCTGTATTGTTTTCCCCTTGTCATTCATAATCAAAATGAAGTGCTTATGTGTCTACTGCTTACTGAAAAAGGATACATAGTGAAATAATATTTTTCCTGCGCTGTTTGTTTTTTTCCTTTTTCTTTCTTTTTTCCCATACATGTGCCATAAAGATTTCTGAAGAAACTTATTGTGTTTAACGATTTCTATCATTAGTAGTTTCATTTATTTAATTGATTTGGAAGATAACATGGTGTAAGGATGTTGTTATATTTATGTTGCTTCTTGCATGCAGGCTGCAAGGATATTGATGATGCACTACACTGTTATACTCTTCCAAATGGAAACTTCGAAGTTGGAGTTCGTATCCTTTATCTAAGCACATGTATTTTATTGATGATGCCATGTATCAATAGGTCACATGTATTCAGATTAGTATACGTGGATTACTACATTTGGATGGATGTTATGATTTTGTCAACAACCAATTTATCCAAAGAGTTTATGCTGTTAGGTGAAGGTATATGAATGATTTTTATATTTTCAACATGTCCCCTCACAAAAGAACCCTTTGGGTTTGAAGAGTGAACAATGTATTGGTTTACCTATCCCGTGTTATGAAATTCCACAATATTTTTTAAAAGATTGGAAGTGGCAAGGATTGAACTCTAAACGAGTTGTTCATAGAGGCTCTCATACAATGTCAACATCCAATTCAACAAAAAAACAAAAATTGCTAGGTGAAGGCATATAAATGGATTTTATATTTCGAACATATTTCATCATTTATTTGCATATGTATCTTAATTTGGCATAGATTTTGATGCCCTTGCTGGCCATTTTAATTAGCATATCCGCCTGGCTATTTTGTTTTTTTGTGTACATTCAAAATATGATAAATCTAAATGCTTTCTTGAGCATGCTTGAATTGTATACTGGTGTATGAAGTATGATACTGCTTTGCTGGCTCAAACTTCAGAATATTTGAATGTTATTTGTGGGGGTTTCTTTTTCTGAATTGAATCTTCGTGTCCTAAGTGAAGTAAGAAGTTATCAGATATATGCCTTAAAACTTGCATGTCTGAACAATACATTAATATCCATCCTCTTCAACAGTCCGGCTTTATTAGTTTTTCTGCCCTTTTCCTTTTCCTCTGTCTCCCCTATCTTCCCTATTTTATGCTATTTAATCCCTCTATGTGGTTCATCTTTAACAAGTTTCTCAGATATTGCCGATGTGACAAATTTTGTACATCCTGGCACTCCACTTGATGATGAGGCTGCACAAAGGGGTACATCTGCCTACCTTGTTGAGCGTCGGATAGACATGCTACCGAAACCTCTTACAGAGGGTAAAATAACCTGAACTTCTTTATACCTGTTAGGTGGTGTTTGCTTAAAAGTAGTAGTTTGCTGTGGTTAGAGCATTTTTTGTCATAATTGATAATCCTTTATCTTGCAGACATTTGTTCTCTTCGATCTGATGTGGAAAGGCTAGCATTCTCTGTCATCTGGGTATGTGCAGTCTAATATTCTGGCCATGAAACAGATTCATCTTACCATAATTTTCCTTGTTTGCCAACTTTTAAATTAATCTCTGTTCATACTATGCACTTTACAACTAGTAGGATTTACCAGTTTAGAATTGCACATAAGCTCTATTTTTAGACAATGTATGTTCCTCAGTGCTATTAGAAAGAGAAAGAGAAGATTCTGAAATGAAGTCATTGTATTACTGTAATCTGAAAAGGTTACGAGGGTATCTGATACAAGCTCTATTGATAGAGCCAAGGATGACTCAGCAATGAGTCATCTAACTAGCACTGAGAACTAATGAAATAAAACTACCAAATGAACTACTCTCGAATATTTAGTTGACCAATTAATAGTATTCAAGTATTCAACAGTTTGGAGAAAAAAATGTTGTTACTGTCTTGGTCCACAAGTACCATCCCTAGGGTGTTCGGGTCTCATATCTTCTGATTATGCATAATAAAGAAAGTGCATATGCATTTGTATTGATTATTTATTAGTCTTCCAGGCTATCATACCTATGTTGTATTTAATAATATGATTAAAATGTTGATATATTTACAGCATAGTTTAAATGTTATCAATGAAGGATGTCAAATGAAGCAATTTATATTTGTGTTAGCTTTATTGTCATAGCGGAATTTCACTTAAAACTATTTACAAATGTTCAGGAAATGACACCTGAAGCGGAAATTATTACTAGCAGATTTACTAAAAGTGTAATTAAATCTTCTGCTGCATTGTCTTATGTTGAAGCACAAGCGAGGATGGATGATAGGTATGCTTATATTTCTCCTTATCTCCTTTGTGATGATATGGATTGACATGTTTTTAATTTAGAACTATCAGTTATAATTAAGACCAAATTAAAAAAGTAGAAAGCATAACGTATGATTCTGTCCTGGGATTGTGTTATTACAAAGTATCTCCGGCTATCATTGCTTATGAAATAGCTGTAGTAACTAACTTGAGTGATTAAACAAAAGCACGTGCTAAATGGCTGGGTTCATTTTCTTGCGAACAATTCAAGCTTGTTTCTTTTTTATATTGTATCAAGAATAACCGTTTATTGATCAATGCTTTTTTCTTCAATTTTTTATGGGCTAACATCACCATTTCTTTGTTGCCTTTGGGGGAGGCATCTTGTTGCGGATGACTAATCATTTTTCTAGTCTTTTACTTTATATTTTATTTTAGTTTCATGTAGTTTCGTAACTGTATTTGTTTTGTCTTTGTACAGTCGATTGATGGATTCCTTAACTACAGATTTGAGGAATATGAATAGTTTAGCTAAGGTATAGACTTATGGATGCTGTTTATTATTTTACTCACATAGTTATAAGTATTATTGTCTGAAAAATATACACTGTTTTATCATCTATCAGAAAATGAGACTAAGGCGTATTGAGAGAGGAGCTTTGACTCTTTCCTCTGCTGAGGTCAAATTTCAAATTGACACAGAGACTCATGATCCCCTTGATATTGGTATGGTTTTCTTACCTCTTAATGTCATTTAGTAATTCTTTTTGAGATAGTGGAAGGTGGTCAATTGTGTGTTTTTCTTGTTGGATAAGAAGTCTCCTGGTACTATTAGATGATTCATTCCAGGAGGAATGAACCAACCTGTCATCTATTGATACTCTGTCACATTTTCCAGATGTGTGTCCTAAAACGTCCTATATATTTCATTGTGGAAGTATATACCAGCTACTTGATATCATTAAGCCTTAAAGATCGGTCTATGAATATGTCTTCCTTCGTTTAGGTTAACACCAGAATCCTGAATGACTTTAATTACTTTATCTTTTTGGGATGCTGGAAGTTCAGGATTTAGGGTTTAAATACTTTTATTCCTTTAATTTGGTTTTTGTTTGATGTTTGTACACATTTAATGCATTAGCTGATTAATCTAGTGAGTAAGCCATCAAATGAAGATAAGATAATTGTGAAGTTAATTAATCTTAAGGCCCATAAGAAGTTCAAATTATTACAAATGGTGGCCAAACAAAATTTATTAAGGGAGTGTGACAATTAGATTCGTCTTCATGGTTAGAAAATAGCCTTAACCAAAACCCTTTTAAAACTGTTAGCCACTTTGTGAAAACAATTAGCCACGTAATAATAAATAAGCAATAGCCATGAATAAAATTTCTTCCAAAATTGTATCTTTATATTTAGAACTTCATTTACAACTGTGGGGTGTTGAACTGGTGGACCTTGGAGGGTATCCTGTTGATTAATTAGGTTGCAGAGAGGACAGCATCTCCCCAGAATTGAGATGGTACATTAGTATCCATCATGCTGGCACTTACCTTGACTGTATCAAGTATATTTGAAGAGGTTGCGTTGACATGATTCTCCCTTCCGCAGCAGAATTTGCATATGTGGGTTTCCCATGAATGAATCAACATGTAACTTTTGTGTGGCCTGTCTTCCTACAGTGTTACAACAAGGGCAATTTTTCTTCTATTTGAAAGGTGGTTGTAATATGAAGGACGAGAAAGTGAGGGGATTACAGGGAAAGGAGAAAGTCGTCCGGTAAATTATCTTGTATATTCAACTCGAATGATTTGAGTACAAGAGAGATATACATAGACGATGCTGGCTTGTTCAGCAAGCTGTGAGCCCGCGATAGCTCAGCACAACTAATTAACAGACCTAGAACTAATCTGTAACTGACTAACCTTAACAGATCTCAAACTGATATATTGCATAGTGCTACAGCATTCCAACAATAATATCAAAATGCGTAGTTTAAGCAGTAATTTAATTGCTTTCTTTTAAGGATGCTTAGTGTACTTGTACCTATAGTTTAATTGGATATTTTGTAGAAGAGCGATTGGGGTTGATGGTTTTCTATTTTATTTTACTTTCAGCTAATCCCTCGTAAAAGGAGGGTTTTGTTTTTCTCCTTTTCTTATTGTTTAAATTAATTCTACTTTTTGATTTTATTTGCAGGCATGTACCAGATTCGGGAAGCCAACCAAATGGTCGAGGAGTTTATGCTTGCTGCCAATGTTTCTGTTGCACAACAAATTGTTAAAACTTTTCCTTTGTGCTCCTTATTAAGGTTGTTTTCTTATCCGAATTTTTCACATTTAGTTTTGAAATGCGTGTTTTTCTTGGGAGGGCTGCCTTTATACTATCTACTACTGGTTTTGCATGCCATCAATACTCTTACCTCCCTCCTTTTACTTTGCATGCCTTTTTTATGTTGTTTCATGTCAATTAAAAAACTTAATAGGTGAATTGAGGATTATAAATCAAATTGTATATCTATTTGATGCACTATCCCCCAGAGCCTAGAATACACCAGAAAATTAACATTAGTCGTTGATTGAAGATTCAGCGAAAGATACTAATAGAAACAGAATCAAAAGACAGGGTATTTCAGAAACCCTACAGTCCCCCACACTCTTTACCCCCCACCCCTGCATGTTTCTCTCCCTTTTTTATAACCATACTGGTCAAACTTTCCCTCCTAATTTCACCTCACTGGCAATCTGTTGCGGCAACCATTCCCTCCCTGAGATCTCAATTCCCATTGATTGCCTCCTTGAGAGACATGGATCCCCTTGCTTCTTCCTAATATACACTTAAACTAATCCTAATCAAATAATAAAACTAAAATAGAAATCGCTCATCCTAAGATAATGAAATCGCTCAATTATCACAACTTTAATAATGTCATTAATTCTGCATCAATGACCTTAGTGACTTGTGTAATCTTCTAAATTCTAAACAATACCTACAAGTGGATGATAGAGTTGGATATTTGTGAAATTAAATTGGAAGGGTTTTTAGGTGTAGTGTTAGTGGACCATTTTTTTTTATTAGTAAATGAGTTCTTCCTCCTCTAAATGAAATGTGATTATTGAGAATTATATCTTTCCCACGCTTGTGAGCCCATTGATTAGAAGCATCAACATGATGGAAACTTCTAAAACATTTGCATTGGGCAAGATGATGTAATTGCTATTCTTGTTCTTGTGTAGGCGACATCCAGCTCCAACTAGAGAGATGCTTGAACCCTTACTACGTACTGCTGCTGCAGTTGGTCTGCACTTGGATGTCTCATCATCAAAAGCATTAGCTGATTCTCTTGATCATGCTGTGGTAAATATTTTATTTTCTGTTTGTATTTTTTTCATTATTCTATTTTTTTATTGTTTTCCATTGACAATATATTATATATGTATTGTGGATAATTATTAGCTACAATGATATAATGATTTTGTATGCATCATTTATAACAATTTACTTTTTATAGATCACACATTGCTAGCTCAAGCATTTAATTTTTGAGGGTCTTATTTTGTCTCAAATGTTTTTTCTTTCTTTTTATAACAATTTACTTTTCAGGGCGATGATCCATACTTCAATAAGTTAATCCGCATTTTGGCAACTAGATGCATGACTCAGGTAAATTGAATTTGAATGAGACAACACTGATTGAGAATTTGCGAGAGAAAATATAATTTCGTTTTGTTTTGTAGGCAGTTTATTTCTGCAGTGGGGATCTTAGCCCTCCAGAATATCATCATTATGGGCTTGCAGCTCCTTTATATACCCATTTCACATCACCTATAAGAAGATATGCAGGTATGTATCCCTCGTATTTATAATATGTTTACTTGGTCAATTTGCACAATAATATGAGATGAAACATTTTTCCTCGCAGATGTTATTGTGCACAGGCTACTTGCTGCTTCTTTAGGGATGTCCAAATTACCGTCCGTATTTCAGGACAGGCTCCAGCTCACTACCATTGCAGACAGTATGAAATTCCTTCATGATCTAATTAGAACTTGATTATTTTATGCCTGTCTTTATAATGGAAGTTTTCTCTAGGATAGCTATATTCATTACCAATCTTATGGTGAAATTTTCTTCATTGATTTTGTTTCTTTGTTGTGACACATCTAATCTTAATAATTCTTTTTACCCATTTGTGTTTTAGATTTAAATTATCGGCACAGGAATGCTCAGATGGCCGGGCGGGCTTCAGTGGAGCTGCATACTCTCATTTATTTCTGGAAGAAGTATGTTGTGACATAGCTTCCCCCCTCCCTCTTACTGTTATTATTGTTTTCTATTTGCACTTTGCAGCTCATTCTGGATTTTATCTATTTTTGCTCGTGCAGGCCAATAGATGCGGAGGCTAGGATAGTGAAAATAAGATCTAATGGATTTTTTGTGTTTGTTCCCAAGTAAAGTCTCTTAACCTCTTTCCTTTTTTATTTTCCTTTGTCAAATAACCTATGAAAGGGCGAATAAGGAGGACAAAATTAAGGAAAGAGTGTGTTTTCATTATCTAACCGAAGGCTATTTCAGTAACGTTAAGCACTGAAACAGGGATTAGGTGAGTGAGTATTTGTAGTTTGCGTGTGACATATATTTTTTCTTCTACAGATATGGCATAACTGGACCTGTATATTTGACAAGAGCGGAAAAGGGAGGTGGAGAATGGTATGTAGATGAGCAACAGCAGAAGATTAAAAAGATGGATGGTAGTCTTTCATACAGCATGTTGCAGACAGTCAAAATTCACATTGAGGTTGTTGAGCCTCAGCCTAACCGGCCAAAACTTCAGCTTACTCTCATCTAGAAGAAGTGTATGAGCATCGGAAGAGCTAAATAGGTCGATAGATGTATATAAGTTTATTAGTTATTTTTTCCTAGTTAGGCGATTCATCGTTTTTCATTTTATAATACTCTTTTAATTTATTCTTTATTTATTATTTTATTGCATTCTTTTTTAAAGAAAAACTTACGTGATTGCCTTGATAAAGCTATAATCTCCGTTTGGTGTTTGTAAAAATCTTTCAACAAGTAGCAACTGTTATTTTAAATTAAGAGTAAAAACTCCTGCAATTTGGTTTTCATAATGTTTTAAAAAATTAATTTGATTATCAAAAGAATAGTGACGTTAAATTAGTCTTTGGATGAATGATTTTGCATGAAAATAATTTAGTCATTATAAGCCAGCAGTGTTCGTCTGCATTGCGATAACTTGGTTTTAATATAATAACATTATTAGTACCAATATTTATTTAAATATAAAGTTAACCCACAATTATTTTAATATTCTTTTAAGAAGGATGCCACAACACAACTCGTCTTACACATAAGGAAACAGCTAGGCTGATTTACATATGACTATCACAAAATAAATAGCAAAACCTATCACAGATTCTAGTTTTCATTCTGCGTAACATTTTCCTTAATTTTATTGGATTCACGTTTTATAACTTTATATTTAAGCTGAATATATTAATATTAATACTGGCTCAAGTCCGAGTAGCACCTTTAATTCTAAGCTATGTAGCACCGATATCGACACAGGACACGTGACACGGTACGACGTGATACTCTGACACGTTAATTTTAAAAAATATTAGATTTTGACACGTTAGGACACGTTTTGATATTAAATAATATTTTTAATTTATGTTGTGAATATTATATTTAATATTCAATAATTAAAAAAATAAATAAATGTAATCTTATAATATTCATAAATTTTGCAAAAAAACATAAAGTATGCCAACTATTTATATTAAACTCAATAAAATAGTAATCGTAATATAACGAATCTAATAGTTGGAACAAAAAATCAACGCAACACAACCTTTGAATCTTTTTTTGAATTTCTATAACGCGTGTCGGAGAGTGTCGGAGTGTCGGAAAGTGTCGGACACTAAACGTCAGGATTTTTGAAGTGTCGGTGCTTCATAGATTCTAAGCATGGTATTTGTATTGCTTGGGCATTCTCAGGCACCCCTACAAAGTAAAATCACCAGAGAGAGGTTGAATGCAAGAGTTAAGTGGCTTAGTCAGCCTCGATTGAAATTTGGTTTCTAGGTCATTTTCTCTCTGATCCTCTTCAATAGTCAGTATAAGATATTTTCTCAGAAAAATCAAAGTCAGTGGGAAAAGTTTGATCGCCAATTATGTGCTAAAATTATGAAAATTTGTGAATCTCGTAATTTTGATTAATATGTTTCACCTAAGAAGACTCACAGTTTTGCATTATGAAAGACTAATTGCTGCGAAATTTGTCATGGATGAATATGACGGTTTAGTCAAATTTATCTTATTATTTAACCACTTTAATTTTTTAACATGATTTTAGACTCTTATCAGTTATCACCAATAATTTATTTACACTGTATAATAATTTTGAAAAAAATATTTATCCTCTTAAAAGATATAGAGTTATGTCATTTTAAATGAGAGAAAGACATAATTTAGTATTTTTTTATTTAAAATTTAAATTTAAAAAAATCACTCACTTTCTCTTCATGATTTTCATTGTTTGTATTTTTCTCTCACTTAAAATGACATAATTCTATGTCCTTTAAAAGAATAAACACTATACCCAATAATTTTTTATATGAATGATTTTTTTGGTACAATATAAAGAATTTTTCTCAAGTTCTTGAAGATTGTAAAGTAGCTGATATGGGCTGTGATGGTTCTCTATTTACTTGGCAAGGTCCAAAATGGACGCAACTAGATAGAATTTTTAAAAGACTTGATAGGGTGGTGGCTAATTTAGAATGGAGAGTTATGTTTGAGGAAGCCAGAGTCTATGCTCTTCCTCGTTTGTTATCTGATCATAATCCTCTTATTATCAAGCTTTTTGAAGATGCCAGAGATAGAAGCATGAGGCCTTTTCATTTCTTTGCAGTTTGGCAAGAGCATCATTCCTTTAATGATTTTCTGAAAGCTAAGTGGGATCATGATTTTGATTTACCATATATGTGTTGTGCAATTTCGCAAGCAATTAAATCACACAAATGCGCAAGTGCACGTATCAACAAGTAATAGAGTGGATGTGTGAGTCCAGATATCGTTCCCACGAGGAAAACTATAAAATTAGGATCAATGTGAAGCAATCAAGGTAACAAAGATAATTTGGAAGAGGTTAATGACTAATTAAACAATAAAACTAATAATTAACTAAAAGAATGCAGTAATAAAATAGGTTTTCCAAGTATTAAAGATAGATTGGGATCAATTTTCCCATTATTGCAACTTCACCAGAATGCAGTAACCATGCTACAACAATTATCCATTTGGTAACCAGAACACTAATGCATGCAAGGGCTCTCACCAACTCTACATGTATACTAAGTCCCACATCTCTATGGCCAACATAGTTATGAATCATTAAGTGCAAGTTCCATTTGATTTTGTGGTGTGAATGATCTCTCTACCCACAATTAACTAATTAAATTAGTTAAACCACAATGCTTAATAACTTTTTGAGTTCACCTATATCTCTATAGCCCAAACCCTAATTATCTTGCAGCTCTCTCTCGATAAGTTAACAAGAATAAAAATAAGCACTTTATTAAGCAACTGAAAGGAAAATCATGTAACAAAGTTAAAGCAATACTGACTACATTACAATAAGGGTACTCCATCACCCAATCCTAACACTTTAGCTCATACTTGGGTGGAAAGAAACAACAAAGAAAGAAAAGGATTTCATAAAGCTAAAGTAAAGAATGCAGGGACGTTGCTGTAGCACTGCTCTCGCAGCAACCATGAGCTCCACCACCATCAACCTTGCCTCAGCCGCCGGAATAGTGCAGGGGTCCACCGGATTCAATGATTTCTCTATCAAACCCTAGCCTCACCCTTTGATCTGTTGGATCTCTCTCAACAAACCCTCAAATTCTCTCTAAGTGTTTCCCTCACTTTCTCTCTCTAAAAGAGAGGGTGACCAGCCTCAAGGAGAGGCTCTCCAACCTGTTTGATGTGTGTAGGCTTCCTCTTTTTATAGACTTTGATGAATTGGGCTCCAATTAGCTCTTCAAATCCATTACAAATCATGTTCAAATCTACTCTGTTTTGTTGTAGCACTGAAGATTCTTTCCTTATTTGCTGCAGATATAATTGAGATACACCTCTATTTTGCTACAGCGCTGATTGAAGATTCTTTCCTTATTTGCTGCAGCGCTGATCAGGGACAACACTTAATGCTGCTGCATATACTGAATCAGATTTGTAATCATTGATTTGATGAAGATTAGCTTGTGATTTCTTGACGTTTTTTAGCGTGTATCCAGATCAAGTCTTTGATTACACGTTCAGAAGCTTCTTCCATCAAATTGGGCTTGGATCCATGGCTTGCTGGTGATGATGTCAACAATATGCACTGCTGACCTCAGCTGCACTGCTACAACACTGCTTTCCGATGCTATAGCATTGTCCTGCAGTAAAATAACAAATGCATTTAAATGTTTCCAATGCTCAAATTGTATCCAAACGTACGTAATTAACATAATTCTCAATTAAATCATGAAATCATAGAATTCATGCATTAATCATATAAAATCAAGAGAATTATATGTAATCATAGCACCAAAACATCACAATTAAGCCCAAAATAACTCTCTTTTGGAGAGTTATCAATATGCTACAAAGGATAATACCAGATATTAAAGTGTGGAACAAAGAAGTTTTTGGCAACATTGATAGAAGGAAAAGTAGTCTTGTTAACAGAATTGCCAAGATTCAGGGTGATCGTGAGCTGCATGATTCAGAGAATTTGAAGAGAATGGAGGAAAATTGTCAAAGTTTACTGTTAGATGTCCTTAAAGAGGAGGAACTTTTCTGGTACCAAAAGTCTCGCCAAAAGTGGATAGTGGATGGGGATAGAAACACAAAATTCTATCACCTGAGTACAATTGTAAGGAGGAGCTCAAATAAAATTTTTAGACTTAGGAATGACAATGGTGTCTGGGTTTCAGAATCAAAGGAACTTAAGTCTTTAGCCTGTAATTTTTTTAAAAATCTATTTACTGAAGATGTTAAGTATAGAAGATGGATCACATCTGACAACTTGGGGCCAGATCTTTCTAGGGGAGATATGGACTGCCTTGGTAAGTATCCGGCTGATTTAGAAATAAAGCATACGGTTTTCAACATGGGTAATTTTAAAGCTCCAGGGATTGATGGTTTTCCTACCATTTTTTATAAGAAAAATTGGGATCTTATTAAATCTCAAGTTTGCTCCCTAGTGCAGCAAATTTGGAATTATCCTGAGATATTGGCTTCTATTAATTCCACCCTTCTGGTCCTTATTCCTAAGGTCCAGAATCCATCTCTGATTACCCAGTTTCGACCTATTTCTCTTTGCTCGGTGGTTTACAAGATTGTTAGCAAGATCATTGTAAATAGATTAAAGCCAATCATGACTAAAGTGGTGTCTCCAGCCCAAACAAGTTTTGTTCCTCAGAGACATATTCAAGACAATATTATTATTGTTCAAGAACTTGTTCACTCTATGAGGAAAATGAGGGGAAAAAGGTGTTTCATGGCAGCTAAGATTGATCTGGAGAAAGCCTATGACCGTCTTAACTGGAATTTTATTCGGCTAATCTTGGAAGAGATTAAGATACCAGATCATTTAATTAAATTAATTATGGCAGGTGTTTCTAGTCCAAAGACCAGTGTAATTTGGAATGGCAACTTGACAGAAGAGTTCCAGACAAGTAGAGGTATAAGACAAGGGGATCCTTTGTCCCCTTATTTGTTTGTCCTAGCTATGGAAAAACTTTCTCACATCATTGATACAGCTGCTAATGGTGGCATGTGGAAGCCGATTAGAGAGGAAAAGGGGGGCCAAAAATTTATCATCTACTCTATGCAGATGACTTGAAAGAACTTGTTCACTCTATGAGGAAAATGAGGGGGGAAAAGTGTTTCATGGCAGTTAAGATTGATCTGGAGAAGGCCTATGACTGTCTTAACTGGAATTTTATTCGGCTAATCTTGGAAGAGATTAAGATAGCAGATCATTTAATTAAATTAATCATGGCAGCGGTTTCTAGTCCAAAGACCAGTGTAATTTGGAATGGCAACTTGACAGAAGAGTTCCAGACAAGTAGAGGTATAAGACAAGGGGATCCTTTGTCCCCTTATTTGTTTGTCCTAGCTATGGAAAAACTTTCTCACATCATTGATACAACTGCTAATGGTGGCATGTGGAAGCCGATTAGAGCAGGAAAAAGGGGGCCAAAAATTTCTCATCTGCTCTTTGCAGATGACTTGATGTTGTTTCTTGAAGCTAGTGAAGAGCAGATTCAAGTTCTTCTCAGATGTCTGAATTTATTTGGTGAAATATCTGGGCAAAAGGTTAGTCAACAGAAAACAAGTATTTATTTTTCTAAAAATACTCCTGATGATATTGCAAACAGAATTACTGATGTGAGTGGGTTTAAAAGGGTTTTTAATGTGGGAAGATATTTGGGTGCAATGATAAACCATGGTAGAGTAAATAAAAATTTGTTTGCTGGAATTATTGAAAGGATGAAGGATAGGCTGAATAGTTGGCAGGCTCATTCTCTCTCTCAAGCAGGAAGAGTAATTCTTGCCCAATCTGTCCTAGGTGCAATACCTTACTATCATATGCAGAGCACTATGATCCCCAAGAGTGTTACTAATGAGATGGAGTAATTGATGAGGTCTTTTATCTGGAATGATTCTAATAGAGCAAAACACATGCATCTTATTGGTTGGGATGTTATTACAAAGCCAAAAAATGCAGGAGGTTTAGGACTTAAAAAACTCGCTGTTATGAATGAAGCCTTTATTGGAAAATTAATTTGGACTTTTTTGAATGATTCTGACCAGCTTTGGGTTAGAGTTTTAAAAGCTAAATATATTCATGATGGGAATGTTTATGATGGAATGAGGTGTACGAATGGAAACTCTTATCTGTGGAAGTCTATTTGTGCTGTTTGGAATAAACTAAAACCGCGTCTGATTTGGGATGTTGGGGATGGTAAATCAGTAGCTTTTTGGAGAGACAAATGGGTTGATGGTGAATGTAGTTTAGCAAATAAAACTGCCATCCCTATTCCACTGGAGCTTGACAAAGTGGTTGCAGAATATGTCAATGGTGAGGGTGACTGGGATTGTGGAAATCTGTCCAATTTTCTTCCTAAAGATATCATCCAAGTTATTAGGAGCATTATCCCCCCTCATGAATCAAATGGTGCTGATAGAATTGCTTGGATGCTTCCGGGCTCTAGTGGGGTTACAGTAAAAAATATTTACAATGCTTTGATGAATCATATAGAGGTAGACGCACAGGACAATACAATATGGTCCTTCATTTGGAAGTTAAAAGTACCTGATCGCATCGGTCTGTTTGTTTGGAAGATGGCTCACCATAGACTCCCAACAAAGAGTTTATTGTGCAGAATGAATATGACCCCTGCTACCTGCCCTCTGTGTAGCTTGGAAGATGAATCTATTTTGCATATGGCTAGAGATTGTAGTAGCATCAAAAAACTTTGGTTGGAGTTGCTTGGGCAGGATGAAACAAATGAATTTTTTGATGCCGAGCTCGATTTTTGGCTTATGAGGAATTTGAAGAATGATTCCCAGGTTAGATTTAATGCTCCCTGGTATTTGATTTTTGTTGTTACTATTTGGAATGCTTGGTGGTGGAGAAAAGAGATTGTTCATGGAAAAGACTTAAATTTTTGTGCGTACAAAATTCATTTCATTGAAGAAAAGGTAAAAGAGTTCTCTTTAGCTTGGGAGAATCTTTTGAGTTTGAGTTCTACAAAATCAATGGGAATTATGTCTGTAATGGGAACCTCCGGAGTCTGGTTAGATTAAAATAAATACAGATGGGGCGGCTAGAAGTAATGATGGAGGGGCTGCTTGTGGGGCTATCTTAAGAGATGAAACTGGTCGCTGGCTTCATGGTTTGGCATATCATATTGGCCAATGTTCAGCTTTTGTGGCTGAATTGTGGGGTGTTCTCAAGGGTCTTCAAGCTGCCTGGATTAGGAGTTGGAGACGTTGCATCTTAGAAAGTGATTCTAGTTCAGTTATCACTTTGCTCACCAAAAATGGGGGAGCAGCTCGAGAGTCCAGATCGGTGGTTCGCATTCGAGCTTGGTTGAAGAAAGATTGGGATGTTCAGCTCATTCATACCTATAGAGAAAACAATAGTTGTGCAGATTGGCTATTTAAGTGTCCACTAGACCATGTAATAGAGGATAATCTGTGTACTTTTAACTCCCCTCCCCCTGGTATTTTGCCTTTGTATTTGGCAAATTTTTCTTTGGTCTGTAATTTTCGCAATATTGTTTTAACTTGAGTTGGTCTTAAGGGCTTTCCCCATTATGTTTACTAAAAAAAAAAATTTAATATAATATTTTTGACATAATTATTTTTTAATTTTTGAATTATTTGTCAGGTTTTCTAAATTTCTAATTTCACCTACAATCAAATTGTTAACCTGATACTATGATCTCTGATCACCTTGATCACCTGTCCAAGTAATGCATCAATGACATGTATTTTCTTTAGCGAGTTTAGAATAGCATGAACTGAAATAAATTAATAAACTCGAATATTAAATTCTATATAAAAAGACAATACCAAGAACTTAAGATCATACACAATCAAAATATAATTTATTAAAGCGTTTTTTAATGACACAATTTTTTGTCAAAAAACCAACAACGTTTTGTTATATATATTTATGAGGGAGGATATTTTGACTACCAAAAGTTTCCACTACCACCTTACTACCTATCTAATCACCATTGGATTAACATTTTCTCTCTCTTCAAAAACTTTTTAACATTCTCTCTCTTTGATCCAATGGTGATTTGATAGGTAGTAAGGTGGTAGTGGACACTTTTGGTAGTCAAAATATCCCCCTCTATATTTATTTATTTATTTTTTATATTTTCTTCTCCACAATCGTGGGAAGAGAAAAGAACGAACAAAATTATCTTTTAAAGTAAGGGGAATGATATTGTGACAACGAAGTTGTGTTACTACCAAGTGACTACCAATCAATCTCACCGTTAGATCGATTATGTTAATCCAACAGTTATATTTATTTCTATCTTTTTATGGTCATGATTCCCCATATCTAAAGTGAAAACATTAAATATGGGAAATCATAACCATACAAAGGTGAAAATAAATATAAATTATTAAATTTAGAAAATCATGACCATACAAAGATGGAAATAAATATAACTGTTGGATCAACATAATCGATCTAACAATAAAATTGATTGGTAGTCACTTGATAGTAACATAACTTGATTGTCACAGTATCATTTCCCTTGAAGTAACGCTTCTCGCTTTTCTTTAAGTTATAGATATAAAAAAAAATATCTAAGGCATGTATGAGATTCTAAAACCCTACAAAAAGAAAAAGTGGGAAAGAGGGACGTCACATGTGGTCACTTTCACATAAGAAGGCGCATAGAAATTTCATTCCGAGTTGTACGTTACAGCTTGCAGGTTAGAATTCGTCTCTTTGAGGTTTGTCAAGTCTTCCATTTTCTAACAGCCTTCCCTTCCCCTTTCCCCTTCTATTCTCTGTGTCTCAGTGTCTCAGTGATGGTGAAATCGAGCGAGAATGCTTCTGCTTCAGGTTCAGGTTAGTGTTATGAGATGGTGGACGATAACTCCACCGATTCTATCATCTCTTGGAGCGAAGGTAGCTGCAGTTTTGTCATCTGGGACATCACCCAATTCTCCCTCACACTCCTTCCCACCTTTTTCAAGCACAACAATTTCTCCAGCTTCATCAGGAAACTCAATACCTATGTCCGACTCCCTCTCTCTTTCTTTCTTTGTTTTCTTTGCTTGATTGGGTTCAATTCAATTGTGTTTCTTTGGTGTGGGGTTTCTTCTTGTTTGTCTTTATAACTGAATGTGTTCTCTTTAAAAAAATATACATATATAAATTCATTTTTCATCTGATTGCGAGCCATAATCCACCCATTTCCCCGCTTTATGAATTGAATGCAATTTCAATGTTCGTTCTTTCCTGGGTAGCTGAAACTTTTACCCATGATAAATAATTTAGTGATGATTGTGATTCATAAACACCCTCTTTGATCAATCTTTGGTTCCACTCTTCCTGTTCTTGCTTACTGTGTTTATGATACCAGGACTGTACACACAACTTTATAAGAAATAAATTGGTAATCTTTTGCTTGAGTTTTACACACTCAACAACCAGTGAGGTGCTTGTTCAACTCCTCCATATTTCTGACTTCTTTCTCGCATATAATTGAATCCTGGATTGGTGTTCATACTGATTTATCATTTGCTATTCATTTTGTTTCTATAGGTGTGCATGTTTAGTGCCCCTCTCTCTTTGTTTGTTTATGTTTGTGTCATTTATCAAGGTTAAGGTGAGTCTCTTTTCAAAGTCGGTAATTGATAACTGGAAATTCTATCAGGGTTTCAGGAAAGTTGATACGGATCGCTGGGAATTTGCCAATGACAACTTTGTTAGGGGTCAAAAGCATTTGTTGAAGAATATACGTAGAAGGAAACATCCTCACATTGCAGATCAACCAAAAGCCTTGCCGCAGCAAGGCAATTGTGATGAATCATCACAGGAAGCAACAAATTATGACCTTCAATTTTGGGAAAGAGATATTTGGGAAAGAGATATTTGGGAAAGATAGTACTAATTAAGGAGATATTTAAAGAGATATTTGGTAAAGATAGTACTAATTAAATCTTCAATTTTGTATTTCGGCAGAAGTAAAAAGTTTTGAAGGATAAAAGAGATCTACTCAATTTTCTGAAGTTCTTTCTAAGATGGCATCACGTCATTTTGATTCACATGTTAATTGGGTTATATATTGTATTTTTAAAAAGTATGTATGATTAAAACAAAACAATTTAAATTTTAAATTTTGAATTAAAAAATTGACATTTATCTTTCTGTAAAAAACAAATTATAAAAATCTTATCACTATAAAAATATAATTTTTTTTTTTTGGTGAGGAAATGTAAATTTTAATTTAATATATAAGAAAGAAAATAATCTTTCATTCTTTTGATGTAAGAGTGTAATTAACACAATTTTTTATGTCGTTAATGAATAACTAGAAACTATAATTACTTGAAGAAGATCTGTAGTCTTCTATGCATGTTTCTCACTACTTTTTGTATAAAAAATTGTTATGGCTATTAATAATATTGATTATTATGTCTATTGCGTGGAATAGTATTTAATATTCAAAATTGAAAGCTTATAAATTTGAATTTTGAACTTGATAGGTGAGAAAAGAGTTTAGCATTTAATGTTTCTAACTACTTTCTATCCGGAAAATTGTTAAGCATATTAATAATATTTATTATATGTCTATTAGGCTTAATTATAATACGTATTCGGATTAATTATAAAACTGGAAAAAGATATATATAATAAAATTAAATTTAATATAAAATTATAGATTAAACGAAAAATATTTAAAATTATAAAAATATATGTATAGTTGAAAATAATAATTTAAATTTGAAATTTAATTGAAAAAAATAAGAAATGACATATTTATAATACTTTAAAAGAAAATAAGTTTAAAATGTAGGGTATTTGACCCTTTTACCCTTCATTAATTAATTAATAATCATTTTGTCCCTCGTTCAAAACTATCTATCAAATTTCCCCTCTTTAATCGATTAACTTAAAGATTTAATCGATTAAATGATCAAAACTGACAAAAATAATTGACCTGAAGATTTAATCGATTAAATCTTCAACTTAATCGATTAAATCTTCAAAAAGAAACAAAAAGTAAATAAATAAGCTATTAAAACTGATTAAGTTGATGATCAACTTTATTATTATGCTTATTTACTTAATTATTATTAAATAAATTATTATTAACGAGTAAGAGATTGAGTATCCCAGTTACCTTGAACCTCCATCTTGCTCATTTTTAAAATTGAACTTTGAACTTGAGATGTGAAAAAATAGTTCAGCATTTAATGTTTTTAACTATTTTTTGCATGAAAATTTATTAAGTATAATAATAATTATTATTATTATTTTGTCTATTGGTGTTAATTATTAAATATATTAGAAATAATTATAAAACTGAAAAAAGATATATATATATATATATATATATATATATACATTAACAAATTTAAATTTAATATAAAATTATAGATTAAACGAATTTTTTTTAAAAATTATAAAAATATATATAAAGTTGATAAAAAATAATTTAAATTTAAATTTAATTGAAAAACATATGAAATGACATGTTTATACTTTAAAAGAAAATAAATTAAAAAAATTAACTGATTACCAAAAAAAATTAAAAAATTAAACTTATAATACAAAAAGAGAAAAGCTTTCCATACAAGTATTTTTTTTTAAAAAAAAAATATTTTAAATATATATGTATAAAAAATTTAAAAATACATTAAATTATAAACTAAAAGAAAAAAATTTATTTTTTAAAAAATATGTATAATTAATAGAAAATAATTTAACTATTAAATTTTAAATTTAAATAAAAAATTAAAATTGACTTTTATTATATTGTAAGAAAAATTATAAAAATTTAATTACTATAAAAATTTAAATTTAAATTTAATATATAAGAAAGAAATTACACTTTCATTTTTTGATGTAAAAGTGTAATTAACACAATTTCCTATGTCGTGAATGAATAACTATAAGTTATTACTTCGAGAATGTGTGCAGCCTTCTATGCATGTTTTCCACTACTTTCTATATGAAAAATTGTTAAGCCTATTAATAATTTTTTTTTGGTAAGCTTGGTAAAACACACCACAGCACAAATTAAATAATTGAAATAACACGAGTTCTACAAATAGAAGCTAAATCTGCATCAAACAGCAGACCAATTCCAAGGGGGGAATTAAAAACACAAAAATCATCAGAATTAACATTCACAAAAACCATTGACCAGCATCATTTCTAATAACACCACCACAAGCTGCTAATCTTTGATTACCCTTAACCGCTCCATCCGTATTAATCTTTACCCAATTGCTTCCAGGAGCCTTCCAACAAATCAAAGTATCCGAATAAGACGGGTTATTTTGAGCTAAATTAACCTTAAGAAAAGCATCTTGTATATCTCTCACCTTGGCTATCACTGGCTGAATCTTGTATTGATAATCATGAACCTGATTTGGATTGTCATGACTCCTTTCATTCCTCCACTTCCATGCAAGCCAGCAAGCTGTAGCAAACCATGTACACCAAGGGATATTATCCCTGAAAAAATTAATCTGTGACATGTTTAGTTCTATCAAATCCCATAAATTGGCAGAGAAAGAAACCTGCATATCTATTGGTATCAAATCAGACCACAAATTCTTCATATCATTACAATCTCTCAATAAGTGAATACAAGTTTCATTGTTAAGCCTATTAATAATATTTATTATTATGTCTATTGGGTGAAAAAATATTTAATATTTAAAATTTTAACTTTATAATTTTAATTTTGAACTTGATAGATGGGAAAACAGTTCAGCATTTAATGTTTCTTACTACTTTATGTATAGGAAATTGTTAAGCATATTAATAATATTTATTATTATATCTATTGGGTTTTATTATTATACCTATTAGGATGAATTATAAAACTGGAAAAAAAGATATATATAATAATTTTAAATTTGATATAAAAGTATACATTAAACGTAAAAAATATTAAAATTATAAAAATATATTATAGTTGATAAAAAATAATATAAATTTGAAAACACAGTTAGATAATATTAATCATATTTATTGGGCTTAATTATTATACCTATTTGGATTAATTAATTTCACTGCTATAAAAAATTAAACAAACCAAACATTATTTTGTTAGAAGCTTTACAAAATAAGTTTTACCGAAGTAATGTTTTAATGATGTTTATGATTACATGTTTCCAACCTATTGAGTAGTAAGCTTTATAAAAGTTTTTTTAATTAAAAAAATATATGTAGGAGCTTATAATAATTAAGTAATTTTTTAATTAAAACTAAAACCTAAAAAAAGTTGCTTTAATATTTTCCAAAATGTATAAAAAATAACTTCTAAGTTTTTAACTTCTAATCATTTGAAAAAATAAATCATATTTAATGCTACTACATGCTTATAGAAAACAAAAATAGAGAGATAGTAATCTAATTTATATATATGGGGTAAACATTTCTGCAGCCATTTTAGATAAGGTTATCTACAGCCACTATTTTTTACTATGTTCTCCCGGGAGAACATAGTTATAACAATAAAGTTAACAGTAAAGTTGCTTTTTTTTTCTCTCCTCAGTTACTTTTCAGAACCTGTTTGTTGACGTGGAGAGAGAAAAAAAACAACTTTAATGTTATAACTATGTTCTCCCGGGAGAACATAGTTAAAAATAGTGGTTGTAGATAACCTTGTTTAAAGTGGCTGTATAAATATTTTTCCATATATATATATATATATACACCTTTTATATGCTTATATAAAATGCTAACAGTTAGATGTGGCAAAATGAGGCCGACGCAACATATTTTTTTCTTCTTATGATTATAGTCTAACTATAGAAAACACAGATAGATAATGATCTAGATGCAACTTTAAGAACATTTTTTTGTGTGGATAGATATAAAAACCTATTACATGCTTATGTCAAATGTTGATAGTTAGAAGTGGCAAAATGGGCCGGCCCTCCGCCAACACATTTTTGTTTTATCTATTCTTGTGTTTATTGTCTAACTATAGTAAACATAGATAGATTATTTAGACGCAACTATAAGAACCTTTTTTGTATATAAATATAAAAATCTATTACATGCTGATATAAAATGCTAACAGTTAGAGGTGACAAAATGGACACGGCCCAAAGGGCCGTCCCACCTCACCCGCCAAACGGGAAGGTTAGCCCACTAACACAGTTTTTTTCTTTATATTTATTGTCTAACAAAATCATCTTTGTATGGCTAAGATCATTGGATTTATTGCTGTAAATATTTCAGAAACAATTATATAAACAAATTGAATAATCAGACTGTGATGAATGAAAGTCCATCGCTAAGAAATACTGAAATAAGTTGAGTTAAACTACGTAATTTTTGAATGGCTATAGGACAAGCTAATACAATGACATTTGCATTTTATGTCAAAGAATTAAACAATATGCCTTTGCAGAGTTTGGTGGACAGTCAAGTAATCACTAAACTCAAGGGTACAGAACTTTATACATAGAATAGAGTTTCGTTTGAATTAAAAAAAAAATTATTAATTACTCGATTAAAAGGAATGACTATTCAATGTTTTGCAATATATCATTATTTTAATACTATTTATGATTAGTTGTTTTTAACCGAGTGAGTAGTTGGCTTTTTATGTTTTTCACTAAATTAATGTTGGTAAAGGTGAAGGATTATTGAGAATAAATACAATGCATTAAATATATGCTTATATATATGTTAATTTTGTGATTAATTATTTAGAAAAAATATTTCTGCAGTTAATGCAGATAAGTTATCTGCATTTACTTTCAAAATGACGTCGTTTCGGTATTAAAAGATTAGAAAATTATAATTATAAAGACTATAATAACCCTAAAATAAATTAAAATTACAAAATTATCATGACTTCCGCCCCAAAACGACGTCATATTGGGCTTACCGCAGATAACTTATCTGCAGTAACTGTAGAAAAAGCGAACCCTTAATTATTTATACTTATGCAATTAAGATAAAGAATGATATTTTGATATTACCACTAGGGGTGAAAGTGGGTTA